CCCTGGTATGGGGCAGAACCCATGGGTGCCATGGGCATGGCAGGGAAACCCTGGTATGGGGCAGAACCCATGGGTGCCATGGGCATGGCAGGGGAACCCTTGTATGGGGCAGGACCTGTGGGTGCCATGGGCATGGCAGGGAAACCCTGGTATGGGGCAGAACCCATGGGTGCCAGGCACATGGCAGGGAAACCCTGGTGCGGGACCCCATGCAAGGCGTCGGGCACAGATGGAGCGAGCGGGCGCGCGTGTGGGGCAGCGCGCTGAGCGAGCGGGCGGCTGGGAGCGGCGCTCATTAGACGTGTATTATTCATCGGCAGCTTCTGTCGCCTGCCATCTGTTCCCGGCTGCGAGTCGGGCGGGCGGCAGCAGCCTAACGGGGCTGACGCGGCCCCACTCCTGCTGTCACACCTGGGCTGCCGCGAAAGCCGGCACCATGCCGGGACGGCACCCGTGTGCTGGCTGGGTAGGGTGCGGGATGTCCCCGCTGCCCCTCGGGGTGATGCTCCGTGGGGCGGGTGGGAGCCTCGTGCCGTGCCATGGTGCGTCCTGCGGGAAGGGGTCCCACTGCAGTGGCTAGCCCCCCGTTCCTCCACAGCCTTCCTCATTAGGAGACCGGTTCCCTGCCTATTCTTGGTGCTGGAGCAGGATTAGGCCCCTGCAACCCTCCTCAGAGTTCATGCACGACCCCAAAGGGCAACCTCCAGCCCCAAGGTTTGATCCTGCTCCCCGGCTCGCTGCAGGCTGAGTCGGAGCGGAGCCCCAGTACTGCCGTTCACCTTGGTTTTCATAGCTGTAATTAATTGCAGGAGCTGGGGGCTCAGCTCCGACCCCCCTGGGATGGGGAATGGGCTTCCCAGCCATGCCATGCCACTGGGCAGCTCTGGCAGCAGCAGAACCCCTGGCAGTGGGGAGGCAGGGAGAAGGAAAAGGGATTGCACCCCCTCGGTCATTCCATCGGTGCCATGGCCCGTGGCACGCTTGGCGCTCAGCCCTGGGCAGGATGGGGCCCCTTCCCATCATAGACGCAGCTCCGAGCTGCTGCCTGAACGCAGGGTTGGGCCGTGCATCTGTGCCCAGAGCAGGACGGAGGATTTTCCTCTTTGGCGTGCAGCAGCCGAACTCACCCTGCACCCTGAGCAGGACCTTCATCCCCACGCCTTTTAATTAAAAGACTTGATGAACTATGTAATGAGAGCGCAGCATCCCTGCGGGCTCTCCAGCGAGCTGCCAGGGCTGAAGGTGAGGTCCCAGCACGGGGGACATGCATCATCCCCCCGTCCCCTCCCAAGTGCCTGCCCTGTTTCTGCCCCTCAACTGCATCCCGCAGCTCCCGTGGGAGGACCAGAGCACTCGCCAGGCCAGGAGCTTGCTGCTCTAAATTGATAATTGCCAGGTTTTAATTACTCGGCAGCCAAATGACCTTTTGCATCTGCCAGCGAGGCCATGAAACATCTCCCTGAGTGGGAGCAGACGTGCAGTGGGAGACAGGAGGGGGCTGCCACGGCCATCAGCTTCACCTGGACCCTCAGGTGACGGGGACAAGGCTGGGGGACAGCATGCTGGAGGCTGAGCACAGGGACCCCCGGACATCCCACATCCCCAGCGCTCCCCTCCTGTTGCAGGCAGGACACCGAGGAGCAAAGGGCCAGATTCAGAGCCTGTTGTGCAGCGTGGTAGAGTGTGGCTGGAGATGCCAGGATGAAAACAGGACCAATGTCTGCAGGGGCAGGGGCTCTTCACCATCATCTCCAGCATGGGCTGGTCTTGCCCTGGGAGGGAGCATCCTTGGGGCAGAGTCGGTCCCTGGAGCCCCAGCATGGTGCAGCATCCCTGGGGCAGAGTCAGTCCCTGGAGCCCCGGCATGGTGCAGCATCCCTGGGGCAGAGTCAGTCCCTGGAGCCCCGGCATGGCGCAGCATCCCTGGGGCAGACTTGGTGCCTGGAGCCCCAGCTTGGTGCAGCATCCCTGGGGCAGAGCCAACACTCTGGGCTCCAGCCCAGCACAGGGCGCAGCGGGTTGCCTTGCACATGTAGGGTCCCTGCTGCCCCTTTGCTCTCCTGAGCTGCCGCCAGAGCAGCCTCATCCCTCCTCTTTCCCTTTTCTCCTAGAGATAAAATGAGCCTTTAAGAAGGCAAATCCTCCACTGCTGCCGGCAGCTCTCCACGCCGTGGCTCGGTAGAGGCCAGGACCAGCCGCGGCTCCGAGAGCAGCCCGCAAACCGGGCACAGCCCCTGCCCACCCCACGCTGCCTGCACCTCGCTCTGCATGCTCCTGCCCGCTGCCAGCCTTCGCCTCTCCCTCCCGCGGAAAGGAACCCTTCTCCTGACGATAATTACTGAAAAGTTCAGTGCCGAGAGAGACGGGGGGGAGGGATGTATTAAAATGCATGTGCACAGCTTGGGCCTTGCAGCAGATGTTGGCATAATTAGAGAGGAAAAAATTATGAAATTAATTTGTGGTTCAATGTAAATTTTGGCGTTGGGGGGAAAGCGTGGTCCTGCTCGCCTCCCGCGCGTTGCCGCCGGCGCACGCTCCCTCGTTCGTGCACCAGCACGCACCGGCTGCTGTTGGGACCGTGCCATGGAGGGCCTGGGGGAGCACCAAACCCAGCGAGGGGGACAAGGTGATGGGTAATGCCTGGCCTTAGGGGCGATGGTGTTTGGCAGCGCTGCCTCCAGGCTCCATTGCATCGGGGGCGCAGAGAGGTGGGTCATCACCCTGGGGAGAAGGGCCACCAGCTCAGGGAGATGGGCTACCAGTCCCTGTAAATAAGGATGCAAAACCAGGTGATTTGGGGAGAAAAAGTAAAAAGCGGAGCCCAGCAATGTCCATGGGTCGGTATTTCTGTTGGCTCCCACAAATACGCATTTGCTAATACACTCGGTGTCCCGACCGGCTTGGGGGACCCTTCCCCTTAGTGGGGACAGGGCTGAGCTGTACGAGGACTGTCCTCATACATGCGATGGTGGCATTCCCAGAGCCACGCTAGAGCAGGGCGTCAGGAGCAGCCAGACAAAGCTTTGCTTTCCCCCCCTTGGCTTTTCTCATCTCCTCCTCCTTTGGGAGCTGGAGAGGAATTAATATCCACCGCCTCCCCCCCGTCCACCCCCAGCCCCCCGGGAGGGGGCACGGGCTCAGGTTAATGCACCCATTGATCGGCAGCATCCTCCGGTTACGGTTGCTCTGCGCCGCGATGCACCGTTGCCTATTTTGCCATTCCCAGTTTATGATGGATGGTCTGTCTCAGGGCGGGCGCGACCCTGCCACCGCCGCCTGGGAAATGGGGGTCAGCCCTGGGGGCCGCGGCTGCGCTTTTTAGGTGGCTCGGAGAGATGGGGGGGCTTTGTGCTGGACGTTGGATCCTCACCGTTTGCAGTTTGCATTTATTTGCAGAAGCTGTGCTTCTGAAGAAGCGGGGGACCTGCAGGCGGCTGCTCCCAACGGTGGGGACAAGCCAGCCCTGGGGCTGGAGGAAGCTGCTGCCCAACCAAGAACCCCCAAAAGCTCCGTGTGCCCCCAAAGCACGGCCCCAAGCCAGAGCAGAGAGCAGGAGCAAGCTGCAGACCCCAGCATGGCTCCGAGGACCACCGGGGAGCCCGGTGCTTGCACCCCCCTCCCTCGCTGGCTCTGCGATGCCGGTTCCCCTGGGCAGCCCAAAGCACCAGGACCCCGGGGAAAGGTGCAGGCAGCCCCCACTGGTGTCAGGCCCTGGCTGTGGCCACCCTGTCTATTCCCTCCTCTTCCTCAGCCGCTTCGCCACGGACGAAGTCATTCCCGCGTCCCAGTTAATCAGTGCAACGAGTGGAGGTGCATCGTTACGACCTAACCGAGCAACACTGTTGGTGTTGACAGGCTGGGCACCATGGGGGTGAGCGAAGGGAGGGTCTCCACGGCCCCCACACTGGGAGCACTGGGCAGCGTGGGGATGCTCCGGGCATCACTGATGGGGAGAAGTGGGGTGGGGAGAGCCCGGCAACGACCCCCCGCATCCCCGCATCTTCCTCCTGGAGAGCTGAGCTGAGCAGGCACGCCAGCCAGGCATGGGCACCGTGGGCATGGGCTCGTCCTGGTGCCCGCATGCTCCTGGTGTGATTCCATCTGGCCCCATCTGCTCCCACCCGGGCTCGGCGGGACCAAATGTGGGTCGTGGCGAGCACGGGTGACACACCGCGGTGCGGCCGGGGAGCAGCTGATCCCCCCCGGGCTGTGCGGGGCCACGCTGTCAGCCGGGATTACCCAGCTGCTGCCGAGCTGGCACAGGGACCGTCTCCTCTGAAAGGTTCCCTTCCAGGGGATTACGGATAATGCATCTGGAGCAGCACTCGCTCATCCAGGTTTGTGATTTATCTGAAAATCAAATTCCAGTAATCTCGCCTGCCATCTGGCCCCCGTGGACACACTGGCCCCGGGTGGGAGGCAGCCAGGAGGGTCAGGGTGCAGGGCTCCGCGTCCCTCCCCGAGCATCGTCCCCAAGCTGCCGTGGGGAGGGCAGAGCGGGCTGCGGGGTCCATGGGAATGGCCTGGGGCACCCTGGGCAGAAGATGCCCAAGGGAGCCTTTTTGGGATGGTGAGGGGTGCACACGTACCGGGATGCGGGCAGGACCCAGAGAGCTCAGCCCCTTGCAGGGACATGGGCAGGAGGAGGTGATGGGGAGGAGGTGGGGACCCCTGCCCTGCCCGGGGGACGTGCTGGCAGCAGGGATGTCCCAGGCCCCAGCGGGGAAGGCAGAAGAAGGCAGGATCCGTCCTTTCCCCTGGTAGGGAGGCTGCAGGCTGCAGAGCAGCCCAGGGGGCCGGGGTCCCCAGCGCTCCCCTCCCCACCCCTCGTTCCCAGCTCATTAAGGCTCTCCCATTATTCTGACATTTGTGCGCGTCACGTACCGGGAAGAAGTAATTTACTTAGAAGAAATTAAAAGTTCATTTTAATTGAGCGCACACTGCAGTATGCAAATGTGGGGCGCATTATGTACACTGATGCAGAGACAAAGGCTGTAATCAACTGTTAACCCTCTGCGAGCCAGCCCCACGTGCCGCAGCAGCACCGGCACGGCTCTGGCCATGCCAGAGACCCCATACCCACATGCGGGGTGTCCCCTGGCTATGCGGCTCCGCAACCTGGCAGCATGCACGGGCGCAGGATAAACCCCGTGTGCATCTCTCCGTGCCAGCGTGGATGCAGGAGCCAGACCAGGATGCCAGCGATGGAGGCTGTCCCCCAAATCGCTGTGACGTGCTGGGATGGCTCCAAGCCAGCAAGACAGGGTGGACGGTTGGGGCAGGGGCTCTCCAGGGGTGATTAAGTCCTTTTGGGGAGCCCGGATAAGATGGCGACGGAGGTGCAAAGCCCAGATGAGATGGGTATGCAGGTCCAAAGGCCAAATTATGGCTCGTTGCATCTGTGACTGTCCTCAAATCCAGGTACCGCTGGATTTGAGGGTGGTCGCAGATGCAATGAGCCCACAATGTTTGCAGCATCCTATTGCCCAGGAGTTCCTCAGCTGGGCTGTTTTTCTTTTTTTTAGGCTTTTCTCCTTTTTTAAAAAATTTTTTTTACTACCTGTCAAATCTGAGATTTTTTAATGGCAGTGCAAATGGAACTGGTTGGCAGATGCAAGATGACAGCCCGCTGCAGGAGACAGACAAATTACCTCCAACCTCGGCTCAAGACACCCACAGACTCCCAAACAAAGGGAGATGGCGATGGGGGGGTGTAGCAAGTTGTCAGTGCTCAGTGAGGCTGCCCACACTGGACCATGGGTGCTCCGTGGGTGCATCATGTCTGCGGGCATCCCATGCACACCAATGCCAATGAGCCACACCGTTGGAAAGGGCTGTTGGGGATGGCACACGTGAGCATCCAACATCATATTATGGGTGGGTGATGCTAAAAGCAAGGGGGTTGTGGGGACAGAGCTGTCCCCTTGGAAGGCACACACCGAGGGTGACAGGGTGCTCTTTGCATGGTCCCAGCCACCCTTCGTAGGAGGGGCGATGCTGTTGGGCATCCCTGCGCCTGGCACCGCACCAGCTTTGCCAAGGATAGTAGGGACAGACCCAGGATGGGACCCTGACACCCTGGGGGGGACACGATGGCACTTTTCATCCCAGGGCCACATGGGGAGGAGGGCTTGAAGCTTGCACCTCTGCCTCGGTTCGCCTGGCCTGTGCTCTCAGGATCTGCAGCCCCAGTGGCCCCAGTTGGCTCCCAGTAGCATAGGCAACCAGGGTGGTCCGGACGGCGGCAGCATCACGGAGAGGATTTAATTGCTGCCGTGTAACCTTTGCGCCCCGTCCCACGTGCCGGCCAGGCGCCTGGCTCTGCAGCTCCAGATGGCACCCGGGAAAGAGTTAAGTCCGCTGTGATCAACAGCAAGAAGCAAGTGGTAAACAGTTTTTCTCTCCCTCTGCTAAATTAATATGCAAATTCCCCCCCCCACCCCCCCCAGCTCTTGCTTCGAAATTAGCGAGGTAGAATGCTTGGGCTAATTATGCATTCAAACGAGCAGGCTTCGTTAATGTGGCACTAAGAGGAGCCTGAAAATGATTGTGAGACGATGAAATTGAAATTGGAGCACGGCACTTCTAATGCATCTGGAGTCACTCTTGCGTGCCCCGGCAGAAGTAACCTGGCAGTGACCGGCAGCCCCTGCTGTCCTGCCCGCACCCGGGCACCCGTGGCCGCAGCACCCGCAGCACCCGCGGCACCCCACGGCACCCTTCTCCCACTTCTCACCTCCCGCTCCAAAACCAACCAGGTTACAAGATTTCCCAGCGCAGGGATGGAGAGGTGGGATGGCCCCGTGCTGCGGAGCCAAGCGCTGTGCACCCAGAGCTCCCAGTTTGGGGTGGGGATGGGGCAACCACCCTGGAGCATCCCCGGGATGCAGGATAGCGGGGTCGGGGTTAGGACTGATGGTGCCTCGGGCGAGCAGAGCAGCTCCTGGCGCAGCCCTCGGTGGGTCCATGCAGGTCCCGCTGGGTGATGCCTCCGTCAGCCTCCCGTGCTCCCACGGTCCGGAGTGTGGCTGGGAGCACGGTTCTCCTCCCCAGGCCCAATTCTGGCCCCCGAGGCAGCCGGCAGGGCCTGAGCATGTTTGGTAAAGCTCCACATGTACTGGTGTTCGGATGGATAAGCCTCTGGGTGGATAAACCCCTTCCTTCTCCTGGGGATGCTGAAACCCGATGGCTGCAGGGGAGTCATGGGGGGGGGTCCCATCCCCGTCACCACATCCCAGCAGGTTCAGTGCCCAGCAGTCCTTGGCACATCCCAGCAAGGACCAGACTGGCGGCATATCCACATCCATCACATCGCCCAGCCCACAGCACAGGGCTGGGTGGCATGGTGGCATCCAGGGCCAGGCTGAGGGTTGCTCCGTCCAGCGTAGCCTTGTCCCCCAAGGAAGGCGGCACCCACGGGGCTGGGGATCTGCAGAGGCAAAAGTGGGAGAAAATGTTGAGGGCGACAAGACAGACAGGGAGATGTTTTACACTGGGGATGAGCGGCCGTGGGCTGTGACAGACACATGGGATGACAAGGGATTCACGGGGAAAATGTCTCAGGATGTCACCAGCCCCGGTCTCCGCTGGGCTAACTGCTCACTGCTGTCTGCACGGGCTTGGGTTCAGCCACGCAAAGGCTAAGCCCAGTTTCTCGTGAGAGCCGGCAGCACCGTGGCCGCAGCCGGCTCTGCAGCCCTGACCCAGCAGCCGCAGCAGGACCAGCCAAACCGCCCCCCCCCCCGCATCGGGCAGCAGAGATGGATGTTGGTGTTAAATATTCATCAGAGGCGTGGATTTTACTGGAACCGTCCATTAAGAGGTAATGCACAATCTGCAGCATGCTCCCGGTAGCTGGGGCACACCGTGGTGAGCGGCTGGGCGGAAGGCAGCGGGGAGAGAAGACGGATGCTCCGGAGGAGGCTGCAGAGCCATGAGCCAGATGCACTGTTAGTAATCAATGAGGTACTACAGACTTTAGGCGCTCAACCGCCAGGAATAAATAGAAGAAATAAATAGACAAGGAGATGAGTAGCCCCCCAGAAAGGAGGGGAAGGAATGGGGGAGCAGCAGGGATGCAGACCCTGAGGAGACAGTCCCTTGGAGCAGGGTGGGATGCAACGGCATGGTTTGGTCCAGAGGGATGCTGAGCACCCTGGAGCGATGGCGAGCGTCCCAGAGGGATGCCGAGCACTCCCAAGAACATACCTTCGCAGAGGAGGCCGTCGGGCTCGGAGCAAACGGCCTCCCCCACTGTGCGCCCTGGCAAGGCTGGGGCGAGGGCAGCCCACCGGCACCAGGACCTGCCGCGGCCGGCTCTGCTCCGCAGCGTGCCCCAGGGTCTGGGCTGGCATGCAGAGGGGGTTGTTTTCCCCCCTCTCTCCGGTAATTTTTCCCTCTGACTATGATGCATAGCGGTGCTAATTCGGCACGTTGCCATTAATTCCAGCACAGCTGCCGCTCTCTCCCTCAAGGCATTTCGCTAATACTCAGCTTCAGAGCCTCTCAGCAAATTAACATCATTTGTTCTGCAGAACATGTTTTATTTCTACACTACATGCATAGCTTATTACTCCGCCAGCAACTCGGGGTGTGCGGGGAGGCAGCGCCGGCGGGTACAGCCCTCCAGAGCAAGCCCTGCTCCCCACTTCACCGTGCCCATCCCCAGGCAGGCGCAGGGATGGTGCGGCACAGTCGTCCCCCCCCGTGCCACCTCACACTGCTGTCCCTGACCCGAGTTGGAGCTGCAGGTATTTTCTGCCGGTACCGGGATGCTCTGGTGCTGTCGGTGCAGCCCAGGCTGGTCATGCAAGGTGGGATGGTGGCAGCGTGCTAGATCAGTCGCTGGCTGGCATCTCCTGCATCCCCCCCCCGGCCTGATGCCACACCTTGGTGCAGAGGGATGCTCCCACATTTATGGACACATAGGGGACAGTGGTGACAAGAGGTCCCTGGATGCCAGAACCAGAGGGTCAGGCGCTCAGCACCCAGAGCTGGGAGCCCCAGAGCTGGCTGTGGCAGAGACGTGTTCCCTTGTCCCCAGCTGGCACAGCCAACCTGCACCCCAGCACCCTCCTGCTGCCCCCCCCACGGCCACCCCCCACCTACCCTTCCCTCCTTGGGTTATTACTCTGCCTGATTAATGCCTCTGGAGTTTCAGTTAATGATCTTTGGGTGAGGGGCAGGAGGAGGCAGGTGTGCTGGGCCCCCACAGGCTCGCTAAGCGGGTGGCTGCGGGCAAAGGGACCCCGACCCCCAGCCCCCCCGCCGGCCGCGGGACCAGGCTGGGACTTGCAGGACGTGACGCCGAAGGGCACCGGCACCTCCTGCACTGGCAGCGCCAGCGGGAACGGCTCAGACCCTCTGGCAGCAACGCTGGGCTGGAGCAAAGCATCTCCCACATGGCTCTCGGTGCTGAGCCCCCCCCAGGAGATGTCGGGGCCGCTGGCGGCTGGTGCGAGCCAGGCAGGGTGTCCCGAGCTGGGCAGGGTGTGCTGCCCCCCACCCAACAAACCACAGCCTCCACCGGTGATAATTTCAGGTCTTTTGCTTTGATTAAGGTTATTTAAGCTTTTTACCGAAACATAAAACCTGATTGTTTGCATAAACAACCTAATTGGATTATAGTGCACAGCATCGCTAATGCTGCGGGCTGGCTGGGAGCCGGCGGCAGCACGGGGGCCGTGCCGGCAGACGAGGCCTCCGCCTCTGCCGCGCCTGGGGTGGTTTTGGCAGGGGTTGGGTGAGATGCCTCCCTGCCCCACGCCGGGGTGTCCACCCACCCGCCAACCCCTCCCAGCCGTGGACGGACCCTGCCTCGGGGTGGGTGACGGCCGCGTGGGGACACCGGCGTCCCCGGCACATTGGCCCTGGCTGCACCCTTGGTGATGCGACGGCTGCAAGGCGAGGTGGGACGAAGCCCCCGCTCCGGCACTGCCTGCGGGAGGAGGAAGAGGAAGGAGGAGGAAGGAGGAGCGGTGTGAAGGTGCCAAGCGGCAAGCGGGGGGTCAGGAGCCCCAGGCGGGTGGCTTTGCAGGAATGCTGCCTCGCACAGCGTTTCCATGGCTGGGAGCTGCAGAAGGCTTTCATGGCAAAAGGCGGAGAGGCTCCATGAATATTTCATTAGGAAAGCAATGTGGTGTGCTGCAGAGAACATCTGGCTGGAGTCCCTGGAGACCCCTGCCTTGTGCAGGAAGCAGGAACTGTGAAATATGGAGGAAAACGAGGGAGAGGGGGAGACGGGGGGAAGCGTCCCACAACACAGGGAGTGTTCCTGCCCCCCCCCCGGCTCCAAGGTGGGCAGCATGGGGCAGGCGTGGGGCTCTGTCCTCCCATGAACGGTGGTGCCGGGAGGTTTGCGTGAGGTGGGGAGGCTGCGGCGGTGCTGTCCGGCTGGTGGAGGGACCTTTTCTGATCCTTCTCCGTGGAACATTTTGGGGACTTGGCTGCAGCACGGTCTGCCCCTCGCAAGCAGGGTGCTGTGTTTAATCCCAATATCTGATGCAGGAACGGGTAGAGCTGCTCCTCCAGCCTGAAGTCACGACGCACGGGCTGGCTGCGGGGTGGCCAGATGCTGACAAGCCTGGCCAGCGATGCCTGAGCCTGGGGTGGGATGGGACGGGAAGGGATCGGATGGGATGGGACGAGACAGGATGGCTCCTCTTGCTTCACTCCACATCCCTCCCAGGGAGATGCTGATGCCCTTGAAGCTGGACGCTGGGGGCCCTGCCCTGGCTCCTGCAGGCGATGGGTACTGGGGTCAGGGACCCCGAGGGAGGTTTTTCCTGATGGTGCTTGTGCAGAGAGAACATCCCCAGGCACAGGGGTGCTGCTGGGCACAGCCCGGGTCCTTCAGAGGTGCAGAGCAGCAGGCGAGAGTTGGGGTGGTGTGGGGGCTCGGCATCGCCAACATCTGTGTTTCCCATCAGTGCCGGCTCCTTCCCCTGGTGCTGGCCAGGTTTGGCACTGGGGAACCCAGCCAGAGCCCTTTGCCTTCGCGTGGGTGCCGGTGGAGCTGCGATGCCACGGCGTTCCCAGCACACTGCTGCTGGCTCCGACGTTGCTCCTGCACCACGGGGCAGGCAACACGTTCACCAACCCGGACCAGCACGCGGCAGCATCGGTGCTGCCGGACCGAGGCTCTGCCCCTCCACCCCTCAGCCCCTTCCCCGAGGCTCCCGACACGCATTCACACCCCCAACCCCACGAGACACCCACCACCACCCGCAACCCCAACCCCTGCACCCAGCACCCCGCGACCACGACCCCTGCACCAGCGCGGCTCGTGGCCACGGGACCACGAGCATGCCGGCACCTCTCCCCGGTGCCCTGCAATCCTCCCCTTCCCTCCTCCTCCTCCCCAGCGTGGCGGTGGGTGCAGAGGGCATTCTCCGCCCACCCTCTCCTTCTCCCTCATCCCCAGGCTCGCCTCCGCGGCAGCCCCAGTTTGGGAGCAGGGGACCGTTCCCGCGTGCTGCTGGCAGGACTTCGGCTCACGCCCTCCCCGCTCCGCCGCGG